GGATAAAAAAATATTTTTTTTATTCTTGACTTTGTTGTTGCATTTGTTGCATTTGTGTTCTTGAGCTATTTGTTGTTGAAGTTGTTCTTGTAATACAATACTTTCACCAGTTGCATCTTCCAATTCGAAACTTTCTGCCGTCATTGACAAATACATAGGACATAAAAGTTTTACAGGAAACAAAGTTTGCGTCAACTAATGTCAACGTTATACTTGCCAAAAGTGTTTGAGTTCACTAAGGTTGAAAATTCTGCATTCGAATGAACAATAGGCAAACCAGCAGAGAAAGTATTGTTTATACGCATAAGTATCTTTTGGTCATAATAGTTTCTGTCGACATTCGAATAACACTTTGAACCTAAGTTTGAAACAATATATAAGATTGTGTGCTTAATGTCAATGGAATAGACATTCCTTGTATGACACCTTTTCCTGTTTAGGAAACTGTTGGTAGTAAAAACCAGAAATAAGTTTTGTATTATAGCTCATATCGTTTATAGTAAACTCAGTCGGACATCCAAACATAATGAAAACCTGCTCTAGTTGCAGCACATGTTACACCCGTACTTAAAGTATTAAATAAGTCAACAAAACCTGTTGGTGTATATCTGAGTAAGTATCTTCAAAGGAGTATTTTTACCATTCACAACAATAAAGTCTTCTGGTGTCAAAAGAGCAAAACAGGCTTTAGTCGTCATTGTGTTTAAGGTTAGTTTACAATATCGTCCTTGAGGACTTTGTAAGTTTGTTGTTATAGAATTATATGACTCAGGGTTTTTAGTCGTAATAGTATAAACCATTATGTCTTCTGCCATTTACTTAGCAAATAAATTTTAATGAAATGTTGTGGTCGTCAAATATTTTTATGACGTCTGGGAAACTAACTTTAAGTTCAACGTTTCACCTCCTTTCAACGTATATCTTGTCAATGACATTATATGAAACACCACAGCAACTAATGTCGGGTTCTATTTCTTTGATGTTTATATCGTCTGCCTCTGTCAAAAGTTTCAATAGTTCTTTCAAAACTTCATGAGGTGCAATGACATATGAGTTCACTTTTACAGGGTTGTGTTCGACCAAGTTTAACATTATACCTAAAGCTTGACAAATCTTCTCCTGAGTTTGAAGTTTGTCTTTCAGTTGTTGGTAGTCGTTTCGAATATCTGCAACAGAACTTAAGTCTCTGCTAACTTCAGGATATGTTGGTTCTTTTACAGGAACATTGTTATACCATCTTCGTCTTCGTATGGTTTCCCCACTTCAACATCTCTGTCTTTGACATTGACAACAACACTTTGACTGTTTGTTTGAGTTGGTGAATTTAACTTCACATCTGCCACCGCCATTAAACCTTTTGAAACACTCACGCTTCTATTTTTCGGAAATGACATTTTACTTAGAATAAAAGATGGACGTATTCGAGTATCTCTTCGAATTGAAGCAGAACAAAGTTTACACACACAAACAATACAAATACATTGACAGAATAGTTCTTTATACAAACAATGGTAAATGTTATAGAATAGCAATATTTGCTGAACCAAAATATTTCCATAAAGCAAAGAAAGTTGGTATAACTGAAATGGTGAAAGTTCTTGACGTTGACAAAAATATAACTTCAAAACTTACAGATATTTCTAATGTAATAAACAGAAATTCATCAAAAGTGACAGCTCTCAATTTTTTGACATTTGTAAATTCTAAATTGAATGAGAAAAATGAAATAATACTAAGCATAATACAATATTCTAGATTTAATTATAATTAGGAAAAAGTTAGTTTTTAGAGTACTTTTCATAGGCATATAGAATGAAATCTTCTGAAAAATAATATCACATAAACTCATATTATTTTCTAATATATAACTATTTATATAAAAATCAAATTCAATGATCTTAAAAGCGAAGGATAAACCTCAAAATTTACGAATATAATGAGTGGAAATATAATGCTTATCTATCATAAACCATATGAAATATCAATTTTTGCTTTACGCCTAATTTTTGACGACAATTAGCAAAAAATGTTAAATGTTAACACTCAGTCCATTTGAATATGAAAAATAAAATTGACTTTGATTAAATGTTTTATTTATCATGCAATTCTTCTTTGCGACCAAAGATTTGAATAAAAGTTCAAAAAATAAGATAGCTTAAAAAATAATATACGGTAGTGTTTACTAATAGATGAATAGTATATAAATTCTATTAAAATGGATTTGATCCAAAAAATATAAAACCAAAAATAATTGTTATAATTTAAATGAAGAAGTAATTTAAAACGATTTTATTTATGATCAAATTTTATATATTTTTTTGGATCAAATCCATTTTAATAGAATTTATATACTATTCATCTATTAGTAAACACTACCGTACATTATTTTTAAGCTATCTTATTTTTTGAACTTTTATTCAAATCTTTGGTCGCAAGAAGAATTGCATGATAAATAAAAACATTTAATCAAAGTCAATTTTATTTTTCATATTCAAATGGACTGAGTGTTAACATTTAACATTTTTTGCTAATTGTCGTCAAAAATTAGGCGTAAAGCAAAAATTGATATTTCATATGGTTTTATGATAGATAAGCATTATATTCCCACTCATTATATTCGTAAATTTTGAGGTTTATCCTTCGCTTTTAAGATCATTGAATTTGATTTTTATATAAAATAGTTATATATTAGAAAATAATATGAGTTTATGTGATATTATTTTTCAGAAGATTTTGTGTTCTTCTTCAAAATTTTATTTTTTTATTAAAAAGAATCTTTACAAAATATACATTTACTTTAATTAATATTTAAAAACGTGCTCTATCAAAAGTTCCAAAAATTCAATATTTTAGCTTTTCTGAGGTGTCACTTTTGATGAATTTCTGTTTACAACACTAAAGGTAAGTTTATCTTACAATATTATGTCAAAACTGGCGTACTGTCAATATTTGACGGAGAGAAGTCAGTTCAAGAACAACTTACTGACCTGCTGCCAAAATCTGCTCGATGGAAGCTGTCGTTATGCCAATCTGAGGAGCCCCAGCAGGTTTCATCGAACGAATCTTCAAAAGAGCATCTTCCGTGAAAAGTGCTATTGGTTTTGTAAACTTCTTTGCTCTCAGTTCATCTGGACCGTCTCTGTCACCAGTATATTGTATTTGTACAGTACCAACAGTTGAAATACCACCCATAAAGTCTTCTGAGTCAGCAAATGGAATGCCAAGCCAAAAGTTTGAACGGTCTCCATTTGTATATTGAGTTTTTTGACCTCCTGTATGAGTCCATACTTTCACATATGGCATAATAGAACTTTGCATTTCAGGGTTAATGGTTGTTGTGAAGTTGTTGTTAAAGTTCATAGCATCTAATGTCAAGTTGTATGACCTCATATCCTCAACTGTAGAATATTCTTCTCTTGGATAATATTTGCCATCTATGTTTATATGATATTTAATACCGGGGTTGTAGAAACAAGAATAGTCATTTATAGTTCGTCTGAACAGTACAAACATAGTATCTGCATGTTTCATTGCAGTTGTTAAAGCAATATCTGTTCTTGCACCTGGGTCAGCACTTTGGTTTCCAACTTCACCTGCAAAGTCTTTGACAGATATTTGGTGTATAGGGAACATAAGTGGAACTGCAATATATTTGGCAGCTAAAGCATTTGAAATATCTGGGTCCAACATATAGACTGCAAGTCTGCTTTCTATTCTCTTGCATTCAAATTTTTCGCATGTGAACTTAACTGGGTCCCAAGCAGTTCCAGCAGCATTGAAATAATAGTTTACTTCATTGTTGAAGTTTGAGAAACCAAAGTCTAAGTCAACTTTGTCTTTGCAAAATTCGGCGAATGACGTTTGATTTGTTCCCTTTACGTCTGTAATAGTGAATGGGTCTTGTGTTGGTGCAATGACTAAGTTATTTTTGCTTGGAGTAAGTTCGATAGAAATTTTTCCTGCCCAGTTTGGCAAGTATCTTAAAAACCTGAAGATGAGGAAAGATGACAAAGGAACTCTAAGTTTCAGTTTTACTTTGGTTACTGCTGCTGCAGTTTGTCCAGAAAGGTTAACATAAACTCCTGGAACGTTAGGGTCAAGTCTTCTTATTTTCTCAATATTTGCATACTGGTCTGTTTGTTCTCTAGCTTGTGGTTGTACTGAGTTTCTCAAAGCGAACCATTCATAGTTTGCCCATGTTACTGTTTGAACTAAGTCAGAGTTAGAATATATCTTATATCCCATGAAAACTTCTGGAGCATATTGGTATCCGACATAGAAAATTCCATTGCAACCTTTCTTGTCAGACAACTTGGCAGAAGGTTTTATTTCAATGTCTTGTTCCACGTATAAGAATGAGTTGTCAATAGAAATAATATGAAACCTGTCGCAAGCAATATCTACTGTTGTTGAAGAACCTTCTCCAAACTCACCTACGTTTCCATAAGAAACAGCAGTTGTATATTCGTAAGTTCCAGGAACTATTTCTGACCTTCTAATGGCATTGTCGCATTCGTTATACCATTCGGAAACATTTCCGTTCATGGCATCCAAAACTGTTGGCGTTATATTCTGAGCGGCGTACATTTCATATGGGTAAAAATATAGAATAGTTGGATTTATGTGTCATAATAGAACCCACGTGGACCAAGCTTTACTTTCTTCCTGACTGAGTTTTTAACTCTTCTTTTTCCTTCATTGCCACTACTTTCACTAGATGAAGTTACTTCTTCACTACTTTCACTTTGTTCTACTCTTCTCTTCTTCTTTGGTGTCGCTTTTGGTAACTTGCCCTCTGCTTCAAGTTGTTGCATCTTTGCCTCATGTTCACCTAGTATGTTGTAAATTTCCCATGTCCTTTTTGCCTTTGGGCTCTGGTCGCCCATCTCAGGTAACCTATATCCTAGAAAGATTTTGTCATAGTTTGTATTTGAGTCTTCGCGTATTGTTTGCATGACTCTTTCCTGAGTTTCCGGTTCAAGCTCTTCAAACAGAGCTTGTCCATATGGAATAAGCTCGTTTCCAAATATATGTTTTTGTAGCCATTCTGGTTTTCTTTCCATGTTACCAATAATATCTTTTGTGAATGGGAAAGCTTTTACCCAATGTTTCAGTCTTGCGTCATTTATTTCTGTAGTTGGTTTTATTTTGTCAAGGAACATGTTTTTCAATACTAACATTTCATTTGGTACTGTCCATTTGAGTTTTCTTAAATATTCATCCCTTCTCAGTTCATTGTCTGCAAAGTAAGTTTTTATGACATTTTGTAAACTTTCGTTTGCAAGGTCATGTACAATAGGTTCTCTTCCTTCTATCTCCCTAACTTTCTTTCTAAACTCTTCACCAAATATACCATCTCTATGGTTCTGTGTAGTTCTTTGAGATAAATGTTCTAGAACGTCAGGTGTTATATTTCCATCAGCCATGTTCATTTCATACTGGTCCAAAATATCTGCATGTTTCATATCTTTCAATGGCATTAAAGCCGCGCTGAAAATACCAGCTATATCTGGTTCACCATTCACTTCCATTGCGTCTACAACTTCTTGGAATTGTGGTTGTAAGTTTATGAACCACCTATCCGGATTAGCTTTATGACCCCATCTCATTGTAGTTCCATAGTCTGCAGAAACAAAAGTAGGTTTGTTTCCATATTGGTTAGGTTCTGAATGAACTTTAAACAATGTTTCATTTCTATATGTTTTGTTGAAATTTAACCTTTTATTTTCACCGAGTTCAGCCAAAGATTGAACGTTATATGGTCGTAAGTAAAAAGGATTGTTGTATTTGCGTACATTTTCTTTCAGTACTTCCATTCTATGCTGAATATTTTCATCTGATGTTGGAGTCTTTTGTATGTCGGCGAACATTTTTCGATATTCTTCTACTATGTCAGCCGAATTTTTCTTAGACTCTTGGAAAGATTCCATATTCTCCGCATACTCTTGTTGAGGGTCAAGATTTTTCGGCTGTTCCAAATCTTCATCTAGTTCTGTGAAGTTAGTTTCCAAAGGAGGGACTTGTTCGTTTCCTTCAGGCTCTTCTAGCTGTTGTTGCTGAACTATTTCTTCCATGTCTGGTTGTATCTGAACTTCTTCCTGTGGAGTTTCTTGTACCTCATCTGCTGGCATTTCATATATTCCGAGACCGTTTTTAAAAAGTTTCCCTATCTAAGTCATCCGGACTCATAAACCTTTCTTTTTTCGTTCCGTCTCTATTTTTTACGCGTTTCATGAAGAGAGTTGAATTATCATTTAGCTCTGACACCAAATATCTCGGAGTAAATTCATCCATGTCATTTGGATGATATGCTATTAAATCATATCCTTAGCGAGCTTGTATTTTCCAGGTTTGAAATTATATCCCATTTGGTGCTGAACCATAAAGCTAAATAGGTTCGGGTCAGTATTTCCTTCCTTGAACTTTCTAATAGCTTCTTTATATCTGTCACTAAAGTCAAGAGTATCTGGGTAACCATATCTTCCTTAAGCATTTTTAAGAATTCTTGGTTTCCTTGTTCTCTACTTCTTTTATGTCCTTGCTCTGTTTGTGGTTGTTGCTGTGCAGTGTTTTGAACTGTTGGTTGTGGTGCAGTGTTTTGAACTGTTGGTTGTGGTGCTGGATTTTGAACTGTTGGTTGTGGTGCAGTGTTTTGAACTGTTGGTTTTGGTGCATGCCTGTGTCTGTGTCCATGTGACGATGTAAATGTTTTAGGTAGTCCTGGTGCAGGTGCTTCTCTTGGAGGGTTTGGTGGTATATAAGTTCCACCAGCTGGCACATATGTTCCATCTGCAGCATAATGTCCTACCTGACTTTTCGTTTTAAGAAAGCATTTACTAGGTCTGTTTTGGTCTGTTGTAACTCTTTTTCTTGACTTTCCACAACAGTTGCTCTAACGGCGTCATAAGCACTTTGAACTGCCTGTCTCGTTGCTGCATCTGTTATTTTCGTCATATTTTGTGCTACTTCTCTTAACTCGTTGTCGAAACCTTCAGACTTCAGTTTCTTTCCAGATGAGAAGTCGTTCACTAGTTTCACCTTACTATGAAGAGCTTCGAAGGCGTTCTTAAAGTCAGCATTCATTAAAGCTTCATTTGAACTGTCTTCATCCGCTTGTATTTTTGTCCTTATTGACCCTATAAGTTGGGCTGCTTTAGCGTTGGCTTGGGCATCTAACCAGTCATTATTAGCTTTTATATATTCTGCACTTTTCATTGCCTTTTGCATGGCTGCGTCGTTATTTTTACTTTCTTGTGCTAAGTTTTCATACTGTACGGTTTGGTTTTGCAACTGTAAAAGTTTTTCTGCCTTTACATTTGCTTCAACTTCTTTTTTATACTCATCGCTATCCATATATGTCTTCAGGGCTTTTTGTTTTATTCTTCATCTTTCAGTACTTTATATTGAGTAGTATGGTTTTTCAAATTTATAACATCTTGTTCCATTTTTGCTACTTCTGCTGCTTTTTCTGACACTTTTTTCGCATATTCCTCTGTACTTAGTTCTTTCAGTTGTTCTTCTTTCTTCTTTTTCTCTACGTTTAACTCATTGAGTTTCTTTGTGTGTCTGTCATATTCTAGTTTCTTTTCGTTTTCACTTATTTGTTTCTGTATGTCTATGTTTGACTTTTTGACATCTGTTATTTGATTTTTGAGTGAACTCAAATTCATTTGACTTTGAGGGTTATAAGCTGTTCCGTCTGCAGCTCCACCATAGCCTGCCATTTTCGCTAAAAGTGCCGCTCTTAAACCTCCACTCTGTGCACCAATAACTCGGTTTAAAAGCATAGGGTTGCTTGACATTTGTTGCAACATAGTGGGGTCATTCATCATTTGTTGTTGCAACTGTTGTTGTGGTGTCAGTTTTACTATTGGATGTTTCAATGCTCCCTTCCTCTTACGTATATTCTTACGTAGCTTACGTGGCATTTTAAGTGAAGTTAAAAAGCGGTTTTTGACAGATGTTTATATGACACTATTTGTTCAGCACAAAAAACTACTCGGTCAAAGTGTTGTCAGTTTTGTAAAATAACCGTCCTATCTCATTCTATAAGGAGAAAAGGCTTCTCAAAGTATACTTCCTTGGAACGCCTGTAACTTTTCCTGTAGCGACGATAGACCATTACTTGTCCGGACAAAGTTATACTATTTTGAGTGCTCTACAAAAAAGTCAACAGCGACGACTCTCAAAAACCGTTGTGTAAAAAGTTTTACCGTTGGACAAAAAAGTATATATAGAAAACAAAAAACGTTTATAGTTCATTCAATACTTGAGATGGAACGGTTTGCCAACGGTAACTATTAAATAAAATAAAAAAATAGAGGGGGTCTCCGTTGGTAAAAACCGTTTATTTTAAACTTTTCTATGAGTAGTCCGAAAAAAACAGTTTATTTTTCATAATGGAAGGAAGAAAAAGTGTCGCAAACAATTCGTCGACTACCTCTGCAGTTAAAGTTCCTACAACTTATGTCTCACCATTCTCAAAACCCTTACGACCTCCTATAATACCAAAGCAACTTCCTCATACAATTCAAGACAATTTGTCCAACAATTTGAGTTCTTCTTCTCAAAACACAACAGATACAGTTGTCCAAACAGCACCAGAACAAGTTTCACATAGTTCTACAATTCAAGACAAATTGTCCAACAATTTGAGTTCTTCTTCTTCTCAAAACACAACAGAAACATCTGAAACAGATTTACAACCAGCACCAGAACAAGTTTCACATAGTTCTACAAGTATGTTAACAAGAGCACAATTTCAAGATTTAATTTCTCTTGAACAATATTCGAGTAACGAAACACAAACCGACGACTGTAACCTCTCGCTACCCGATTCCATTCAAAGAAAATACGCCATGAAAAGACTGAAATTGTTGTATAAACTTCTTAACAATTGGGGGTCGAAGACAACACAGATTATAGTGAAATGTTTAACAAAGTCATAGAATCTCTTAAACCAATTGAAAACGACATAAAAAATCCCGGTGTTCTTGTAGACCTTTTCGCCTCAAAATTACCAGTTACAACTAATCTAATAGCAACACAAGCTATAGAGCAATTTATTTTATGTTTTCCCAAGCAATATAGACAACACCTGAGGGAAACAAGAATAGGAAAATTTCAATTGGTGTATCCTACAACATACAACTATTACGAAGAAGCAAATGAATATGGAGAACTCTCGTTCCATTTCACACTTTCAGTTCCTGAGGGAGAAGAAAAAGCAATATATCATGTACAATCTCTTGCAGGATGTGAAGGAAAACCTCACATAATAACTACTGTTGCAATTGACAAACCTGCAAGAGTCGAAGACGATGTTTTGTTCGCGTCCATTGCTGGTTTTGGCATGGGAGAACCAATTCCAATTTCCCATTTCACAGAATACTCAGCACAACATTTTCAAAATGTAGAATTCGTGTTCTACGACCATCAAAAGTTCCTGCTAACAAAACCAAAGAAACAATTTGTCTCAATATTTGTTGCTGGTCATGTGGCTGACAAAGAGCCATCAGATACTGACTATGAAGAAGAGGAGGAGGAAGAAGAAAACGATAGCGATGTCGTTCTTATCGAATAAAAACTTTAATTTCTTACTATATAATTTTTTAGTTCTCCTCTAGGTTTTTTAGGGGCTAGAAGGGGCGCAGCCCCTGGAAGCCCCAATACCTTTTTTTTTAAATATCAAAAGAAGGAGAATTTTTTAAAACAATAATAAATATGAAAAGAAGAAAAAATTTTTAAAACAATGATAAATATGAAAAGAAAGAGAATTTCATAAAACAATGATAAATATGAAAATAAAGAGAATCCAATAAAACAATGATAAATATGAAAATAAAGAGAATTCTCTCAAACAATGAAAAATATGAAATGAAAGGGAATTATATTAAACAATGATAAATATGAAAAGAAAGAGAATAAGTTTCATGTTAACATCAGCACCATGCTCAACTAGGAATTGGACAATACAATTTCTGTTGAATTTGTATTGATAGCAATACTAAGAGGGCATTCATTAATATCGAAAAAATTTCATAAAATAATGATAAATATGAAAATATAGAGAAAGTCATAGAACAATGATAAATGTGAAAAGAAAGAGAATTTCATAAAACAATGATAAATATGAAAATAAAGATAATGTAAAAAAACAATGATAAATATGAAAATAAAGAGAATATTATAAAACAGTGATAAATATGAAAAGAAAGAGAATTTCATAAAACAATGATAAATATGATAATAATGTGAATCCAATAAAACAAAGACAAATATGAAAAGAAAGAGAATTTCATAAAACAATGATAAATATGAAAATAAAGAGAATTCTCTCAAACAATGAAAAATATGAAATGAAAGGGAATTATATTAAACAATGATAAATATGAAAAGAAAGATAATGTAATAAAACAATGATGAATATGAAAAGAAAGAGAATAGAATAAAACAATGATAAATATGAAGAGAAAGAGATTATAAATTTTGTTGATAACTTCTCCATTAGTAAGTAAATAAGATGCAACATGATAATTTCCAAAAAGCATACTTTCCTCTATTGAATTAAAAGTTTGTCCAAAATTTGTTTTAAGGTAGTCAGCAATTTCATAGTTTCGATAATCTAATGCTGTACTAATCATTCTATCAAATGATTTACCTTCATCAATCATTTGCATAAAAATGTTTATATTCCCACCTTGAACAGCATATTTTTCGGAGTAATAAGTGTATTTAGCTCCTAAATTTTTCAAGTAATTGAAACACAATTCTGATCTGTAGAAAATAGCACAATCAAGTAAGTAGTATATGATGCGGGTTTTGTGACTTTTTTTGTAAACGTAAGAATTCATACAATATCGAGCGATTTTGTATCATTTTTTTTAACATATGAAGTAAAAAATGTATGATTCTTACGGTTTTTATTCTTACGTTTTTGAATAAATCAAGATTTAAAAAATTTTCAAAATTGTAAGACATTTACACTAAACCCATACATAATGAAATAAAAAAAAATAAAAAAATAAAAAAATAAACTTTAAAAATTCATGTCTTACATTTTTGAATAATTTATTTTTTTAATTCGTAAGAAAATGAGTGGATCAAGATTCGTAACCGTCAATCAATTAATGGATGCTCTTTCACCAGTTCTTGAAAATGTTAAACAAGTAGATGTTTATTTCGATGATTATGTAGAAAGTTTATATTATAAAGGTAAGTTTAATATTAAACCTATTGCTTTTGCATTTGATAATAAATTAATTGAAAATGTAAAAATTTGGGAATTAATTCTGAATATTGAATTTATAACAAATATTAATGATAAATGGTTTAAACGAATTTCAACCACAAAAGTTCTTTGTAAATTAATGATCAAAACTGAGGCCAAAGAATTTCATGAATTTACATATCATCCAAATAAAGTTTCAGAACTAGAAAATGAAAAACTTCAGAAAAAATTAAACGATAGACTTTCAAATGATCGTATTGAAAAAATAAATAAACTAACAGAAGTTGCATTTAATAATGAAATATTTGATGAATATAACCTTGAACTCAGTGATGGGCTTTAAGGACCCGGGCTCAACGAGTCATGATTTATGAAATCAATTATTTGATTCATTCTTTCTTCAATAATTTCTATTCTTTTTGTTAAATCATCAATTTTCATTAATGAGGTGATTCTTGATTGAGGAATAGATTTCAAACTAACCACTCCTTTTATTTTTGAAATTTTGAATCCATCAACTTTAAACATTTTATTCAATTTACATGTTGTCAATTCTTCAAATAATTTTTTATTATTAGCATAATAGTCATTAAATTCATCAACAGATGAAAAAATTTTTATTTCAGTAATTGGTTTAACAACGTTTATTTTTTGTTGAACATTTTCACTTTCATTTATTTCTTCATCCTCTGTTTCATTTATTTTTAAAATCGGTTTCATTTATCATTAAATAAAAATTAGAATATAAGTGATGAAATATATTTTTTAATTAATATTAAATCAGAAATGGCGGCGGGATTCTTTAAAAAATTATGGGATGGAATTAAGAAAGCTGCAGGTTGGGTTTATAAAAAGGTTATTAAACCTGTTGCAAACTTTTTGGCACCAGTAGCGAAAACGGCAGGAACTATCATAGGTGGAGTATTAGGTACTAAAGCAGGTAATCCGGCGATGGGAGCACAAGCAGGTAACGCAATTGGTGGAATTGCTGAAGGAATACTTAATAAAATAGGAGGTAAATAGTGGAAAAATAAATAAATATTATTTTTATCTTAGTATTGGTTGTAGTCTTTGATAAACTTTTTCTCCTTTATTTAATATTTCTCTTATTGGGGCAGCTTTTGGTGTTATTGATTCAGCAACGTCACTAATTGCTTCTTTATTCTTAAATATCCAATTTGCTCCTTTCTTCATTGTTTCCCAAACTTTATGCGCTCCTCTTTTTACTTTATCCCACAGTTTCTTAAAGAATCCTGCAGCCATAGTTGATTATTTCATTAAAATTAAAAATTCATTTTCATCTTTCAATTTTGATTTTTTTATTTAATAATAAATGACGACTAACTATTTGGTGCCAAACACTAAACCAATTAATGGAAATGTGTTTCATTCATTCGAAAAGATAAATGAAATATTCGCAAAGAATGACGGAAGAAGATATTATAGAGAACTTGAAAGTTCATGCTATGACTCTGATGCTCCATATTTTGATGATAAACAAACTCATTTAAGAATTACAAATCCGGCTCATGATGTGAACCAATTAGGTGACACATATATTAAACGCAAAGTTAAAGCAACTCTAGTTTCAAATAAAGCTTTCACATGTGATGCCGCTTTTAAATGTATGCGTTTATTCGTTGGTTACAAATCATCAAATCAAAGCTTTAAACAATTAGAAGTAGAAACCGAAAGAGGTGATGCCGGTTATCTTCAGATGGATTGCGCCCGTGAATCTTTCGCATTTGCAACATATAAACCAAAATCAGAAAGGAAAGTTAAAAAGTTTGTTCATTCGTTATATAATAATGTTCAAAAATATGATAACTCAGTATGTGGTAAATATATTGACCCTTCAGAAGTTTTCAAGAAAGCAAATGAAGAAGTTGATATCACTTTTGATATGATTATTCCGGTAAATGATTTGTTAGCATTTCAGGCGTTCGATGATTATCCTAAATCATTTGGTGAAATCATTCTTAAATATTATGTTTTCAGGGATACTTTAGTATTTTGTCAGGTTGACCCGTTAAGAGTTGCTGATTTACAAAATTACGTTTATGAAAAGATAACTGATGAAAATTATGAAAAGATTATGAATCATGTTTATAAATATGATCGCAAATTCCAACAAATCGGACTTCCTACCAAATTAATTACAAGCTTAGCCGCTACATCTGCTGACGCAACAGTTGATGACGTTATTATTTCATGCACAAAGATGGAAGTTTTAGAGGATAAATGTATTACACCAGGATACGGTTTAATTGAAGAATCAGTTAAAGCAATACCACGTTTATTCAGTAAGGAAGATCCATTCATGATTCCAGCTCAACATATTGACGTTCGTTCACTAAATGGAGGTTGCATCACTCCTGAAGGTATTAGCTCAGATTTCTCATACGCTCTTCATAATGTTACAGATGTTGTGTTAGCATTTCCGAAGAATGCAATGCAAAGAACAGTTTTAGAAAATCCAATGCTTCGAGGTCTTCAGGTCACTATAGATTCCAGAAACTTCCCCGATCAAGCGATGACCACAGTGGGTGACATATTCTTTACACGTATGCTTCAAGCTTCTGATTTAGATGGAGTGAATGAATGCACAGAAGAATACGAGGACTCATTAACTAGACCACTGAATGATGATAATGGCACCATTAGCTAGAACATGGAAAGACCAAACTTCATTCTTATGCACTATTCCAGTTCAACGTGATGGAGCGGGTATATTCTTTGATGGATTAGAAACTTTCAACTCACAAGTTACAGTACAAGTGAAAGCTTATCCAATCATTCAGGGTGTAAATGACACTTACTGTTCAAAGGTGACAAATCCTCCTCAGGTTTGGTTTACTAGGACTACGTATTGGACATGGACACCGGATGAAGGTTTGAAATATCATCCAACAGGTACACCACCACAGTATAGAAGTTCATATGATGAAATATTGATGAATAGAAATGTATAAAATTATAAATTTATTTTTGATTAAATGGATTTAAATTCTGAAGAATTAGCGGGAGTATATAATACATACGTAGATGATATGATTAATGAAGCATTGAGTGATAATAGAAATGCTCTATCTAAGGAAAAATTAATGAAAATTCCATATTCTGAATGTTACTTAAATTCAATCACTGCAGCAATTGGTAAACAAAATAAAGGTAAAACATTAACGATATTAAAACAAATTATCATTATTGCTAACACTTCCCCCCATTCACATGTGTTAATTTATATCAACCGTTCAGGTTCACCTTCAGATGATACATTTGAATCTTTAAAGCATTTAATCAAAATTCCAATTATTTATTTATCACAAGAAGAAGCAGAAGATTATTTAAAA